GCGCGGGGGCCCAAGGTGTCGTTCTCGTGTCGCGGGGCGGCCTCAGGGCCCGCGCCCGGCCCGGGTCCCGGCCCGGGCCCGGGGCCGGCGGACGAGGCTGGCAGCGAGGAGGCTGGCCCGGCAGGGGAGCCGCGGGGGAGCCAGGCCAGCTTCATGCAGCGCCAGTTCGGCGCGCTCCTGCAGCCGGGCGTCAACAAGTTCTCGCTGCGGATGTTCGGCAGCCAGAAGGCCGTGGAGCGGGAGCAGGAGCGCGTCAAGTCAGCGGGGGCCTGGATCATCCACCCGTACAGCGACTTCAGGTACAGCCACGGGGAGCGCCGGCGGGCCGGGGCGGAGGGGCCCCGCGCGCGTCCGCGCGCGGGGGCCGTCCTTGGAGCGCTTGTGGAGGGCGGGGCGGCGCGCCCCGCGGGTGACCTCGGGGCCCCTTGGTGACCTCCGACGCATCCGGGACCCGCCTGAGAATGACCTGGGCGCTGGAGGTTCTGCCCTTGGAAGGGCACTGGGAGGCGCACGCCGACTCCCACCGTGACCCTGGAGCGCCCCCTCCCACGCATCCTGACACTCCTCGCCCTTCGAGGTGGGCGCACGTCACGGGCCGCAGGACCAGGGTCTGAGCTCGAAGGGGCGGAGAGGACGAACAGAGGGGAACGTGGGCGCCGGGAAGGCGGCGGAGCGGAAGGAAGGAGGAAGGAAGGGCGCCCGGGAAGGACGCGCCTGAGAGAGGCTGGCAGAGAAAGGGTTAAGCGGACACGGCGGGTCCCACGGTCTCCACCTGCGCCCCACGCCACGGGGAGGCGCGTCCTGTGTCCCTGGGCCTGGGTATGGCGCGAGGAGGGGGCGCTGAGCATGCTGCGGTCCCCAGACTGTGTCTTCTTTGAGCCGCATCAGCTGGAGCTGCTGGGTGGTATGCCCAGGTGTCAGTGTTTGCGTAGATAGCGATGTGAATTAAGCCGGTTGATGGCTCCAAACAAGGCCAAGAGCAGGGTCACACCGTTTGTGTCTGCAGTTCTCTTTCTTGGGCGTGTGCTGTTGGCCTGCGAGTGTGAACGGTGCATATCACTGCAGGCTGCGTCTGTGATCACAAGCATGTGACCACGAGGGGAGCAGGGGTCCTGGGGGCGTGGGCCGAGTCATCTAGGGGGTGTGTCTGGATGGTGGATCACTGATGTGTATTGGGGAGAGATGGGCGTGTGTGTGTGCATGGTGTGTGTGTAAGGTGATGTGCCCGTGAGTGGGGTGTGTGAGCCAGGGTACAGAAAGTCTATGTGGCTCCCCAGGCCGCCTGGCTGCGGCCCTCAGGGCGGGAACTGTTTCAGCACCACGGACAGCAGTCCGGAGGCGGCCTGATCCTGTGACGCCGCGGCACTCCCTTCTCCCGGCCTGAGCCCCGAAGTCGGAGGTCTCTATTTGCTCCTGGACCCCCACAGCTGAGAAAGGGGTCTTTGGAACTCTCCCTTCCCTTGGCCTTTCCTCAGCCCCTGCGCTTGACAACTGGGGAGACGGCACACAAGTCAGGGACAGGCTGGAAGAAAGTCCAGTGTTCCAACTCCTTACCCCTCAGACCTCCTGGGAGGTGCAAACAATCTTGACCAGTAGCTTGGGCTATGGGAGACGCCAGCGGTGGAGGTCCTGGGGGGGTCCAGGTGGGGTGCCTCTGGATGGTCCCTACTGCATGGGCGCTCAGCACTCCTCTGTAGATAGTTCCGGTCTGTGAACCGAATGGACTTGGCTTTTAGGGCTCCCTGGCTTGCCTGGCCGGACTGTGAATGGGGAAACTAATGCTAGCTGGCTGGAAAGGGGCATGGATGTGTGGGCAGGTGCAGGCGGCTGCAGAAATTAGCCATCCCCCGTCCCCTCCAGCACGTCTGTGTGCTGCGTACCCCTGGTCTGTAGGTGCCCTGGACTTCCTCTTGGCTGCAGAAAGGGGTAGTGTGCGGCTCAGGGTGAGGGGTACTGGGAGAGGGAGCTGGGCATCCCCATCCTTGTTCCTGCTGATCACAGTCGCCTGCAGGTTCCTGCACAGGCTGAAAACTGGGGGTGAGCAGTGGGGTTGGGGGGGTGACTGTGACCCATAGTTGGGATCAGATGAGCCAAAGTAAGAAACTTAAGATACCAAGCTGGGGGTGCTGCAGGGCCTCCATGACCCCCCATGTTTGAAGAACCCTGCTAGACCACTCTGATTCAATGTGGAGACAAGCACAGGATCACAGCAAGGCCTTCAAGCCACCCCCCTGGGCCAGACACTGTCCCAGCACCTTAAGAATATTGATCTAGTCCTCACATCAGCTGTGGGGTGGATCCTGCTACCACAAAATTTTAGGTGGGGAAATCGGGGCACAGAGAGGTAAAGTCACTTGCCCAGAGCCACACAGCTAGTCCTGGGCAGAGCAGGGATTCATACATGGGCAGGCTGGCCCCCAGGTCCACACTTTTGACTGCCAGGCAGCCTGGCCGCTGGCCACGTCCCGTCCAGGCCAAAAAGAAGCTGGAGAGAGAAGGCCTCCTGGGGGTTATTCAGCTAAGGGGGCTTGGCCATGGGTCACCTCTGCGTTTATGTGTGTGTGTGTTAGTTTTAGGAAACTGTGGAGCAGTGCAGCAGGGCCTTTCTGGGTCTGCTTGCCCACACTTGCCTCCTTTGTCCTCATGACCTGATGGTACAGATATGTCCCTGGAATGAGCCCTGGACATGATTTAAAAGGAAAAGGGGGTGAGGCTCCCCGACCAGTGCCTAGGGCCTCACCCAGATCCCTGCCCAGGGCCGCGGTGTCTCCACTTCCTTGAACTAAGACTTTGTTCAAGTTGGCCCGGCACCCATCTGGCACAGAGGATGGGACAATCAGTGTTCGGTGGACTGGAACCGCCTTGGCCAGGCCTCGCTCTGCTCTGCATGGCCTGCAAGCTTCCAGGGAGGAGGAGCATTTGCAGAGGCCTGGGGAAGGAGGCTCTGGGCTGGTGGAATCAGCCTGGGCTCAAGCTCAGGTATCCAGCCAGGCCCTGGAGGGTGCTCCAGGCAGGTCTCCTGCCAACAACCATCGGTTTCCCCAAAGGCAAGGAGGTGGCAGCGAGAGGAAAGGGGGAGTCTGACCTTCACAGCCTGGCTGGCCTCACATCTCACACCCTTTCTCCTCCCCATCCTTGGGGCCTTGGCACAGTCAGCCCCCACCCCGCCAGGCATGCCCTTGCCCCCATCAGTTCTTCTGACCCTTCAACTTCTGGCTCACATGCCTCCCCTGTTTGGCACATGCACCCTACTCTCCTCCACCTGTTTTGTGTCTGCATTCTGAAGTGGCGCTTTTATTCACTACCACTTCCTGTAGGTCCACCCCCAGCGTGGCGTTCCAGGGTCTGGCACACCACGGGTGCCCAGGACAACTTTGGGAACTCACCAAGGAGCGCGTGTGAGGGCCAGGCAGAAGCCGGGCTGAACGGGAGTCTTGTTTCCCGGGCCACTTTTGACGAGCCCAAACCCGTTCCGTGGGGTTTCAAGGGCCCATGGGTAACACTAGAGCTGGTATGGGACACAGAACTTCCGTGGGGGGTGGGGAGTGGAGAAGCAGGATAGAGGGACGGTGGGGGGATTCAGGTTCAGGACGGTTGATTCTCCTTCTCTGCACCCCAAGGTTCACGCTGAGTCGGAACAAGTGTGAACAATATCACAGGGCAGAGCAGGGAGAGTGGCTGGGGGCTGCATGGAGGGTCACAGCCCGTGCCACTGCCTCCCTGGGGCGCTGGCAGGCTCTTCTGTTCCTTCCCACAAAATCTGTGAAAAATGAACACAGTTAATTCCTGTTCCTTCACCTGCCCCTGCCCCTGCCCCCCGGACATGGAAACATCTGAGATGCATGAAGGAGATCTTGGAGGAGAGGGTGGTGGAGGGCAGGCATGGGGGCCCAGCTATGACTCCCATCTCCCCATCCTGGACAGTCTGTTTTCTCTGCCACTTCCCTCCACTTCCTGGGATGGAGGTCACTTGGGGACCAAGGCAGCCCTGGCCAAGGAGGGGAGGCCTGGGCAGGTCTGGGGGGCAGAGGCCTCATCTCCCTGGAGAGAGAGTGTGGGCAGGTGGCTTCCTGCTGCCTTTTGGTCTATTCCAGAGTCTGTAAGTGCCTCTGAGTTCTGACTCGAGTCTCTCCTGCTGCTGAGAATTTTCAGTTCAGTGTTCCCGAACTGTCTACTGCTGGGAGGATTGGTGTGAGGGGCAAAGATAAGTGGGTCTCTTTCCTGGCCCTCAGAGCCAGGACCAGTGGATGCTGGGGTCCCCAAAGACCCAGGGTGGTGGAGGAGCAGACCTAAAAAACCTGACTGGGCTGGAGGCCTTTCCCCTCCCCAGACGGCACAGTGGATCAGCAAGAGATCAGGCTGCATTAGCTCGTGAGAATAAAGCAAACCCTGAATCATCTGGAGCTGGGGTGGGGGAGGGTGGGGTGAGAGTTTCCCTGGTTCCGCCTCCAGCATGAAGGCACTCCGAGTGGGGGTGGGGGACAAACCCATCTTCCATGTGGGAGGACTGAGGCCCAGGGCCCACCCGGCTGGGAGGAAAGAAGGCCCATGGTCCCTGTGTGGGGACAGGGTCCAGAGGTGGCCAAGAACACCCTTTTTTCTCCAGGAGCTTCCTGCCAGAATTTGGAATTTCTGGCCCCTGAATTCCCTGCTTGAAAAGCTTCATATCCCCAAGACCCCTGTTTCAACATCCTGGGGCCTGGGCATGACCAAGGGGTTTAAGGGGATACTCTGGGGGTCCCTTCCTCAGCCACCCCAGCCACCCACTTGCTCACGACAGACCTGGCTTTATTTCCCCCATCAGCAAGCCACCCCCTCTCCTGCTGTGACGCCACACTCTGCCCCATTCCTGGCCTCCCGGCTGCCAGCAGGGGCATCTCAAGATACCCATTTGTCTTTCTTACTGGAAACCTGCCACGACCATGGCCCCCACGGCCCTGCAGAGACTGACTCACACTCCCCTGGTCTCTTCTTACCTCTTCATACCCCAGCTCCAGCCGCAAGAGGGGAAACCCCATGCAGCCACAGGACCTTTGCACTTGCTGGTCCTCTGGCTGGGGTGCAGTGCCCTGCTCTCCACCTGTCGGCTCCTTTTCCATCATCCACCCATATGCTGCTTCCTCTGAGAAGCCCTCCCAGCCCACCCTGGCTGAAGTAGCCCCTCTGAGGCATCCCACTCATTTATCTGTCTGTGTGGAATGCCAGGCTGGAGCCCCGAGGGAGGGGCCCCGAGGGAGGGCTGGGTCTGTGTGTCACCATGTATCCTCCAGGCCTGGCACACAGTCAGCCAACAGATCACCCAGGAACGGGCAGCCTTCCCTTGCAGCCTCCCTTTCCTGATCCCTGACACCTGCCTGGGATCTGTAACTCACATCCCAGGGCTCAGGCCCCTAATCCCCCACCCCCTGCTTGTCCTTAATCTCCAACCTCCAGCCCCTAATCCCCTTGGATTTGCCAGATATCTGTAATTCCCCCACTTCCCGCCTGGGTCTTGGTTCTCAGACCTCGCTGCCCTCCTTCATTAAGCAGTGGCGTTGGGGCTTTGACCAAACTCCAGGGACACCCCTGCCCTTGGGTGTCGAGGCTGAGGTTCCCAGATGCTGGAGGATCTCACCCAAGTCTGGCTGCTGTCACCACGATCGTAGACCTTGGGTCCCTTCCAGCCTTTGGCTCTTGCAGACTGAGCTGCTGTGAACATCTTGTTACAAATCACTCTTTAATTTTTTTTCTTCCTCTTGGACAATTTCCTTGGGATCAGTTCCCTGAAATGGAAGGCCTGGGTCACCCTGCAGGCGTGGTGCTATGGCCCTTACCTCGCAGCACCGCTCAGAACTGAGCCAATTCACAGTGACTCCCGAAATAGGGAGCCACTGAAGCCAAGCCAGCACCGGGGTTTATGGCTTTCTGTTTATTTGTGCTAATTTGGGAGAGTCCCTCTAGGACACTGGGAACCTCAGTCTCTTGTTCTATCCATCCGGGAGGAGCCCCGGCTTTGAGGGTCCTCCCGGCCCTGTCCTGCCCACACGTGCTGAAGCTTCTCCAAGTGGACGCGGGGGCTCTGGCCATGATAGGGAAGGCACTGGGCCTACGGGGGAGTCCTAGAAATCCTACCTTGGGGTGGCTGTCTCCCCCTGCAAAGTGACAGGCAAAAATCAAACAAATGACTCCACTCAAAATTTTAGACCCTCCTTTGTCTGAATCTGGATGGGGAGTGTGGGCTCAGACCCCTGATCTGGGGCAGCTGCTCATCACTGACACCCCCAGGCCATGAGATTTTCTTATATACATATGTGTGTGTGTTAACATACATAGAACATAAAATTTGGCATTTAGCCATTTAAAAGTGTACATTGTAAAAATGTACAAATGTCACGTGGCATTAAGTACAATTACAATGTTATCCATCTCCAGAACTTTCCCATCTTCCCAAACACATACTCCCCACCCCCTCCCCAGCCCCTGACAAACAGGAGCCCCCTCCCTGTGTCTGGGGACTGGCCTGTTCTGGATGCCTCACATCCATGGACTCACACACTGTGTGTCCTTCTGTGTCCGCTTCTCTCACTGAGCATCGTGCTCTCAGGGTCCGTCCGTCCACGTGGTAGTGAGTGTCAGTGCTTCTCTCCTTTTCGTGGCTGAGTCATGTTCCATGTGTGGGGAGGGACCACGCAATGTTTATTTATTCATCCATCCGTGGGCATTTGGGTTGTTTCCACCTCTGGCCATTGTGAATCGTGCTGCTGTGGACACAGGTATCCAAGCCCAGTTTGAGCCCCTGCTTTCAGTCCTGTGGGTGTACACCTCCGAGTGGAATTGCTGGGTCACATGGTGACTACCACCTTCTCGGGAGCCAACGCATGGTTTTCCCTTGGAAGGGTTTTGATTCAAGTTTTCTCGGTTGATGCAGCTCTGGGCTTTGCCGCATCTGTCTGTCCTTCAGACGCTTTACTCAGAACTCTGTGCCTGGCCATCAATAGATATTCCTCGAATGGATGGGCCTTTTTCTGAGAGTACTTCCCGGGTTGGGTGGGAGTTTTGAAATTGACTTTGCATCGGTCATGGGTCTATTTGGGAGAGGAAGCAACCAGTCACACTTTTTCAAGCACATTTATCACACTGAACGTCCAGACCGTGCCCAGTCCTGTCACTCAGGTTCTTTGGCCGACCCGGCCTCCACTCCGCTGGCCAGGCCTTGGTCTTCTTTCTCCGGGGACAGGCACCCCCTGCCTCCTCCTCAGGCGGCTTCCTGGAAGGGACACACAGCCATGCCCCCTCTCAGCCCTCCCGTGGTCCAAGGGGAAGCACAGCCAGGGTCAGGGTCCCGTAGCCCTGCCCTCAAGCTGTGCGCGTTTGGCTCCCAGCCTGCACCTGCAGCCCCCGAGACCACTCAGCAGGCAGACACTCCTGGCTCCCACCCCACCCTCCTGCCCTTCTAGCTTGGGGCGGTGGGGGAGTGGAGATTGTGCCTCCGTCTCCCCACCTGGCCTGAGTGCTTTTTGGACACCAACCTTGTACCAGGCACATTGGACCTTTTGTCATGGGAAACATTTAATCAATTTTTGAGCCTCCTCTTAGGCTCTTCCCAGTCTCCTGCTTCAAGAAGAGGCTAGAGTTGGGCCAGTGGGAGGGACCTGGGCTGGGGGAGCCCAGCAGGCAGTCGAGTGTTGTCTAAGGGTTGGGAGGGCTTTTTGGAGGTGAGGTCCACACTAGCCATGACCTGGGGCCAAAGTCTCAGCTCAGGCTGAGGAGGGGAGCTCTGGGCTGGTCCGTGAAGGCGCGTGTGCGCGTGGGCATGGTGCGGAAGGCACGCTTGGTGGAGGCCCCCCTGGGGCAAAGGCTGGAGGCATGACCCACTGCGCCTCGCCCCCAGGTTCTACTGGGACTTCACCATGCTGCTCTTCATGGTGGGAAACCTGATCATCATCCCCGTGGGCATCACCTTCTTCAAGGATGAGACCACGGCCCCATGGATTGTGTTCAACGTGGTCTCGGACACATTCTTCCTCATGGACCTGGTGCTGAACTTCCGCACGGGCATTGTGATTGAGGACAACACGGAGATCATCCTGGACCCTGAGAAGATCAAGAAGAAGTACCTGCGCACGTGGTTTGTGGTGGACTTCGTGTCCTCCATCCCTGTGGACTACATCTTCCTCATCGTGGAGAAAGGCATCGACTCTGAGGTCTACAAGACGGCGCGTGCCCTGCGCATCGTGCGCTTCACCAAGATCCTCAGCCTGCTCCGCCTGCTCCGCCTGTCGCGCCTCATCCGCTACATCCACCAGTGGGAGGAGGTGAGCGCAGCTGCGTGTGGACGCAGGGCAGGGTCGTGGGTCTGGGGCGGGGCTTAGGACGCAGAGACGGAGTCCTGATGGGAGACTCTGGGCGGGGCTACCAGGGGCCGGGGCGGGGCCACAGTGAGAAGACAAGCCCGTTACAGGCCTGGGAGTGGCGGCTGGCATTGGGTGGGGACACTGGGCAGGGGAACAGGGGCTGCATGAGGGGCCTAAGAATCTTAGGGGCAGAGCCTGGGCATGTAGGGCGTGGTCACAGGGGCCTCTACCTGGTGGTGTAGTGGGGTGGAGTCAAGGAAAGCCCAGCATGGACTCTTGAGATACTCGCACCCCTTCCCTTCCTTCTGCCCTGTGAGAGGAGGACTCCATTGCCCATTGGCAGTGGGGAAACTGAAGCTCAGAGACGCAAAATCACGCCCCTCTCCCCCAAGTCGGGACTCACCTCTGGACTGAGTGTGACCTGACTCTTGCAGCCTATGGCCACCACGGGGGCTCAGAGTCGCCACCGTGTCCGGCAGTGTCACCCCCATATTCCAGGGCAGCAACAAGGCTCCAAGGGGGGGGTAGCGGGGGGGACAGGGTTGCGGGAAGAGCAGGTGGTCCTGGGAGAGGGCGGCGGGTGGCCAACCAGACACATAGATTTGGATTTCCCGGGGAGTAGTTTGGGCGGAGGGCCATGCGATCTATTCTAGGGCGCTTCATTCTCTCCAAAGGGGACGGGCCTCCCGGGAGCGGGACCGCAGTGAGGTGGGGGCGCATCTCAGAGCTCAAGGGGCAGCGGGCAGAGGCTTCTCCCTCACGCGGTCTGCGGCGCCCGCCCTCACGTGCGCCGCGTCCCGGCCCCCAGATCTTCCACATGACCTACGACCTGGCGAGCGCGGTCATGCGCATCTGCAACCTCATCAGCATGATGCTGCTCCTGTGCCACTGGGACGGCTGCCTGCAGTTCCTGGTGCCGATGCTACAGGACTTCCCGCGCAACTGCTGGGTGTCCATCAACGGCATGGTGGTGAGCCGGCCCCGCCCCCACGCTGCCTGCCGTGGCCCCACAGGCGCTGAGGCCCGAGAGCTAGCGTCGGGGACCAAACCCAGCACCTGTGCTCGGGGCGCATGGCGCCTGATACCGTGTTAGCACCCCTCTGGGCTGCTGTCTGACTTGGAGCCTTCCAGACCCCAGAACCAGCGAGATCCTTGACCATTTGAGGGCCCTGTGACAGCTTTTGTTCCCTAAGAGCGTATCATCTGCTTATTTTCTCCATTGATTCCACTTTTTTATTCTCATGAATTTATTTAAAAGACAGTTTTATATCATACCGCTCAAGTGGGAAAGTGGTATCATGGGCCACGAGGAATAAAAACTGGAGACTCAAGCACCTATTGCTTGCTGGCTGAAATGATCACTGTTAAGAGTGAGTTGGGTGCCCGGAGGTGTTGGAGCCGGCTTAGCACCACAGCGAACCTTAACCCCGCCAGGCACGTGGGGCACAGAGCAGGTGGGCGGGGACGGGCGGGAGCAACGGAGGGAAAACCCAGAGTGCCGGCCCGGCGCCTGGCACAGCTGCCGGCCTGAGGCAGCTCATTGTCTGGCCGGACACCCGGACATGCTGTCCTGTTTCCTGAACTGGGCCGACTGCCCCCTCCCCTAGCCAGGACAACTGAGGACTGGGAGGGGCGTACTCCTGGCCCTGCCTGATGCGGCCACCCTTCCTGCCTCTCAGATTGGAGTTTTTTTGTGTCCCCAGCTCAGTTCCTGAGGTCCTTGGGACTTCTGCATTCTCTTGGCCTCAGAGACACTCCCATCAGAGTCTGCAAGTAGTTGGGGGCTAGAGTCTAGCCCCTCTGAGCCTCAGTTTCCCTAGGACTGACATGGGGAGGTGCCTATATGCCTGCCCCCACTGCTGAATTGCTGTGGCACATGTGCATATCCTGAACCTGCCTGAGCCTGTTTCTCTTGGTTACCTCTGGGCACAGGGAGCTCACCACCCAGATGCCTGGGGGAGGATGGGCAGCTGGGGCCCTTGGGTCAAGGGGTGCCTTGGGGGCTGAGAGTGCCTGCCCACCCACACCCACCCTCTGTGGCCTTGCAGAACCACTCGTGGAGCGAGCTGTACTCCTTTGCACTCTTCAAGGCTATGAGCCACATGCTCTGCATCGGGTATGGGCGGCAGGCTCCTGAGAGCATGACGGACATCTGGCTGACGATGCTGAGCATGATCGTGGGTGCCACCTGCTACGCCATGTTCATCGGCCACGCCACTGCCCTCATCCAGTCGCTGGACTCCTCACGGCGCCAGTACCAGGAAAAGGTCTGGGGGTCCACCCTGCATCTCTGCAGCTCCATGCGGTGTGCTCAGGACAGGGCCCAGAGGGGATTATGTGTGTGTTGGGGGGCTGGGGGCCCCAGTGGGGTCTGTGGCTGTAATTAGAAGGAATGGAAGCCCCCTGGGCAGCTCCCAGAAAGACAGTGAGGAAGCTGAGGGACCTTAAGAGGAGGTCTGAAGCTTGGAGGGGGATGAGGCAGGAGAGATGGAGGGGGATATAGGCTGAGG